TTTGCGGTACGTGGGCCTCTCACTGTTGTGGCCTCTCCCATTGCGGAGTACAGGCTCCGGACGCGCAGGCTCAGCGGCCATGGCTCACGGGCCCAGCTGCTCCGCGGCATGTGGGATCTTCCCCGACCGGGGCACGAACCCGTGTCCCCTGCATCGGCAGGCGGACTCTCAACCACTGTGCCACCAGGGAAGCCCTGTTATAACTTTTGATTATTTGTAACTTTTGGCCAGCTAGCTGATGTTTTCATTTTCAAAAAGGCTTACGCTTTAAGGGTTAATTTTCTTATAATCAGTCTTTTTTTGTATTGGGGTGGGATGAGGGCTGCAAGAAGCCAGAATCCCACCAGACTGTAGAAAAAAGAGGCTTACCTTTCTTTAAGAACTTAAGGGAAAATTCTCTGTATTTAGAATTCTATGTATTTAACTTTGGTCTGATGACCAGCCGATGACTACATGCTTAGCCTCTTTCCTACTTGTTCTGTGACTGTCCATTGGGATCAACACATTAATGCCAGGCCTCCTGGATTTTATTTTCTCTTAACCTTTTCTTGTTTACATTTATATACCTCTGCCATGGATATTTAATATCTTGAACTGAGTACTTTTCAATTAACTATTGCACTCAGCTAGACTTCACTTTCTGAGATGCACTTATTTAATAAGTTTAAGTTTGTATAATTACACCTGAATTAAATGAGTGTGTGCCTCGTAGTTCACATTAGTCAAGTTAATTCAGCTATTAAAGCTTTAACGTAACTCATTTCCCAACTGTGTGCAGTTTTTGACATCGGATGCAATGTATAACATATAATGTACATCACATGTACATAATCAGTGTCTTTGTACATCACTTGTCCTTACTTGTTCAGAGCCGCCTGGGTACCATCATCAGCATCGAGATCCAAAAGACCAGAGTTTAACATTTTGAAATTTATGAAAGTGCTTTCTCATTTTTCCCTAATTCTCAACTCACTGTTCCTTCTATACTGTTTATAGCACTGAATTGTGTATGTGGTCTGGTATTTCATTTTCACATTTATTTACATGAGTCAACATTAACATTTTCATACACAAGTGATTTTTATATTATTACTCTGTTTTAAATTGATCATTAAAAACAAATTACTTATTGCCTCCCCTCCCCCACTTATATATTCCTTAAACAGAGTGACTGGCCGGAAGGGTACCAGCTTGCATCCTCTATGAATTTCCGCTTTCCCCAGTGTGTTCCTATAAACTTAAAAACTCTTATTCCCAATGCCAGTAGTGAAGCTATTCAGCTTATGACTGAAATGTTGAGTTGGAATCCAAAGAAACGACCAACAGCAAGCCAGGTAAGACAGATCTCCCTGGTATAGTTGTGTGTGGGTTTGTTTGTTTTTTTAATTTGAGGTTTTACAATATCGGGGATATTTTTCTTTACAAAGACAAGTCTATTTTCAACCAGAGTTTTACCAAGAGAATTAAGCCCTAAAGCTTAAGGCATCCAGCGTATGTAATGATTTAACTTCTAGGCATGTAAGATTCTTGGGAGAATTGCAAAAATAGCCACTCCAATGATTTTCTGTTTTGTGGTTCAAATGAGGAACCCTGTGGAGGTTGAGGCTGAAAGGAACTAATCTCTAACGGTAAAAATTCAGGCATGTCGACACTTTGATCTCTGACTTCTAGCCTCCAGGATGGTGACAAAATACATTTCTGTTGTTTAAGCCACAAGAGCCTTAGAAAACTAAACGGTGAGGATAACTGTGTGGGGGAATAAAGCTGTAGTTCTCTGGCTTTTGAGGTGAGGGTAGAGGCATTTGGATTTACTATTCCACTTAGATGACGTACACCAGGAGAAAAACGATCCCTCCACCACCACCAAAGGAAATAAGTGGTTGGCTATAAAGGCACAATGGATTCTGGACAGAGAATGAATGCCCACTTCAATAACCTTTCAAGGAAGTTTTAAAATCACTATTCTTTCAATATTTATTGAGCACAAACTAAGAAACTAAGTGCCTGGTAGTATGTTAGGTGGTTGGAATTTCAGATATGAATATACGACCCCTTTCCTGGCCTGGTGGAACATTCTGCAAGTACTCAATTTTCTACCACACTTTTCTGGGGGACAGAGGGCTTTGATAATTTAGAGACAGTTAACAGAGAGATGTATAGGGATGATCCTTCCACCCAGAGGAAGGATGGTGGTAAAATTTAAGGAAGAATTTGCAAAGGAAATGACATTTACACTAGGCATTAAAAATGTTGTAATTTGCTCACACTTTTTTTCCATCTAGCATCTTCCTTTCCCTTCTTTCTCTGGCAAAGTGATAGAGCTCTAAACGTTGAGGCAGTGGCAGAACTGGAGGATGAATGGGAATGGGGGAATGGCGGGAAATGGGCCAGAAAGACAACTATGAAATAACAAAAAATCAGATTTAGAATTAGAAAAATGTTGACCTGATTTGCACAGGATAGTTTGTATTTTCTGTATGACTCCAAATGTTTATGAGCTTGTGTTCATTTCATAGTTTAAAAGAATAAAGAAGAAAGTAAAAGTCAAAAAAAAAATTCAGGCACGTGACAAGCTAATTAGGAAGAAACTTGTCACAGGTAGTAAAAGAGCATCTCTTCAGTTAGACAACCTAGTAGACTTTCCGACGCTCTCCTACCGTGTAGAGGGACTCGGGTTCCCTCGACACAGCAGCAGCATCCCTCCACAGGACTGGAGTAATGCTGCCTCTCAGGCTCCCACAAGTAATGCTGCCTCTCAGGCTCCCACAAGTTAGCAGCGTGTGATACCCGTGCTTGGCTCCTTTGTGACTATACCCTCAACACCTACAGATGAATCCTGTCTCATGGTCTTAAAAACGCCATGGTTTTATCTGCAAAGGGCTTAAATTAAAAAGTCATAACAGGCTTTATGGTATTCTTATTGTTATTTAAATATAAATTGAGGGTTGAAATAAACCAAATAATTATTTGGCTTTTAAAAAATTTAATTTGAGACGATATTTTCTAAAGGTCAACTAACTGGAAGAACAAATAGGAAAGAACAGCCAAGACAGGTTTGAATAATAAGTAATCAGAGGACAGTGGTAGGGTTAGACAGCTTGCCCTATCAAACGTTAAAATAATCTGTAAAATGACAGTAATTACAACAGTGGGGTAGTGGCATGAGGTACTTACAGTTGCAGAAGCTGCAAGTCTGTGTAAGGTAAAATCTCTCTCTCTATATATATGTGTATGTATATGAAAGACAATGTATATGAAAGACTAGAAAGAAGTTCTGAAAAGAAAAACATCAAAATGTGAGCAGCAGTTTTCTCGGTGTTGGCTTTTGAGATGATTTTAATTTCTTCTTGAGAACTTTCTATACATTCCTTATTCTATTCAATCAATATTCCCTTCACAGACAGGAAAAAAGAAGTTATTATTTTTTAAAGATCCTCTGTTTCTTTAAGGATGGTAGCTGGTATATTAAAGAGGAAAAGTTACAGATGAAGCCCTGAAATTCCAAAATATTCATAAAGCCTCTAGCTCCAAAATGTACATTACTGACTTAGGAATAGTGACATACTAATTAATGGGGCTACTTAATTCAGAACCTGAGTGCCATCTATGCGTCAGGTACTGATGTAGTTAAATCGTCTACAGTTGCTGAGTTCCACTTAGCAATGTCCATGTAGTTAACACACACATCAGGTGTGGTAGGGACACAACGAAGTTTCTAAGGGGAAACTTAGAAGAAAAACTTACTCTACCTCTGCCAAAATATACACCTCCCTGCCCTTCACCTCTTCCTCGTTTACTATGTCATTGCCCTTTTTTTTTTACTGGAAGCAGGGAGACAGGGAGAGGTTAAGTTACAGGAGTTGCCTCTGTCCATCTAAAATCTGCCCCTGCACGCCTGCGAAGTTAACTGTGGGTCAGGGCTACGCCTCCACGTAGGCAGGTACTGGCTTAGGGCAAGAGGTGCAGGGGAACAGGGCTTCATTATCTTAAGGGGCAGCCCCTTCCCCGACACACACACACACACACACACACACACAAACACACACACACACACACACACAAAACAGCAGCATCACTGACAGCGTGCCTAGATGCCCGGAGCGCCTCCCAGGCCCCGAGTTGTGACAATTAAAAAAACGTCTCCGAAGGGGCAAAATACCCCCAGTTGAGAACCACTGCTCTAGCCTGTGTCACCCAGATGGTCACCAGCTCTGTCCCCTACCCCCCACTTCCATGCAGTAACAGTGATTTGATGACTGATCTAGTGAAAACTCAGTGACCATTTTTACTAGTACTTGTAGAGTCTATTCCCATAAGTACTTTCTCTTTGCTGTTATATTGTTAAAGCTTAGTTCAGTTTCTTAGAATTTTTTTTATTGCTAGTAGACATGTACTTATAGTTAGGCTAAAAATAACCCTGAATTTTATAGGATGTTAGAGTTAATCATTTAAAATAAACTACGTAGAAGGCTTTCTTAACTCATTTCTTAATGCCTTTATGGAGTCTAAAACATTATCAGTATCTAGTGTTTTAGTTTGAGTTAATCCATCAAATTCAGCCACTGCTTATAAGCTAGACTTTGTGTTTTATACAGAGTCTTTAAAAGAACAGTTGCCTTGACTGGATGTTAAAATTACAAGTGAGTTATACATTCTTTCTACTAATATGTACTTTTTCTTTTTTTTCATGAAATTTTCTTCTCAAATCTTTTTTTTTTTCTGGGTATCTTTTTAAAGTCATCACATAAGGGGAAAACTGGATGCTTTCTAAATCTCTGAAGCTTACCTAGACTAGTGATATATGCCTAGCCCAGCGCTGGACAAGTTTATATGCAATAAATTTAGGTGAAACCGTTTTCCATTTGCTATTTCCATGCTTCTTTAGGCATTGAAACACCCATATTTTCAAGTCGGTCAAGTATTAGGCCCTTCCTCACATCATCTGGAATCGAAACAGACTTTAAATAAGCATGTGCAACCACTAGAGTCAAAGCCACCTGTAGTTGATCTAGAACCTAAGCTTCTGCCAGACATAAGTGACCAGACTGCCGGACAGCCCCAGCCGAAAAACAGCCACCAGCCACTGCAGTCCATCCAGCCGCCACAGAACACGGGTGTCCAGCAAGCACCCAAGCAGCAGAATCAACAGAAACAGCCACCAACACTATTTCCAAGTATTGTCAAAAACATGCCAACCGTAAGTAGCCCATAATGACACTTTAGATGCGATGGTTTGGTTCCATTAGGATTTTGTTTCTAGGCATTCTAAAAATGTTGGGGAAGATATAAAAGATGTCCGTCTGTTTCGTTTCTCAATACAGACCCAGAACCCAAAACAGTGTCTGGCACATGGTAAATTCTCAACAAATATCTGTTGAATGAATGAATGAATAATTGTCCACACTGTTTTTGAACCACCTCCAGGGTCTTGAGGAGTCCACATTATCTTTGGGGCAATTCTGAATACTAGAAAGTTCTTCCTCATACTGAGCTCAAATCTGGTTTCTGTAGCTTTTAATAAAAGTTAATCACTCTTCCAGAAAGGCAGCCTTTCAGATATTTGAAAATCGCCCTTACATTATCTGCCCCTTTCTCTAAGAGAAACACCCTCAGTTCCTTCACGTACTCCACAGGGATGTCATTCATCAATGACTGAGTGACCCTCGGTTCCTGTGTATGAAGGAGCCTTTGAGTCCCCTCACCCTCCTGCTTCCCCTGCCAGAACCAGAGGCAGACAGTAGGTAGGAAATATAAAACAAGGTGAATCACCGCCAACATTCCAGAACCCTGTGTTCACCTGTGCCATCAAGGACTACTTTTTTTTTTCTTGGAAGGCCCATAAAATGTTGACTCACACTGGGAGGGAAGGAAAGGAAGTTAACATTACTAAATAGCTACTAAGTGCCATGCTCTATGCAACACCCTCCCGCCCTCTCGTATGCATTCACTAAGTTAAAGTACCCAATAAACTTGCCCGCAATTTTTAGATGGCTAATGAGTTGCAGAGTTGGGATTGAGCATTCTGTTAACTAAAATTCCCAAGTCTGTTCTGTACAAGTGCTTCTGTTCAATCACATATTCTATACCTCTCATTGTGTATTTGATCTCTAGGATTCAAAAATTGGAAGACCTTATTTTTACCTCTCACATTTCTAATAAGTATTTTTTTTTTTTTTTTGCGGTACGTGGGCCTCTCACTGTTGTGGCCTGTGTTGCGGAACACAGGCTCCAGACGCGCAGGCTCAGCAGCCGTGGCTCACGGGCCCAGCCGCTCCACGGCGTGTGGGATCCTCACGGGCCCAGCCGCTCCACGGCATGTGGGATCTCCCGGACCGGCATGTGGGATCTCCCGGACCGGGGCACGAACCCGTGTCCCCTGCATCGGCAGGCGGACTCTCAACCACTGCGCCACCAGGGAAGCCCCTCTAATAAGTATTTTTGAACCCTTATTTTGTCTTCTCAGTTTAACCATTCTGCCCAGCTTGTCACCAGCTATGGAATGGTTGTTCATTTTTTTCCTCCTGTACCTTCACAATGAACAGAATAGCAATGTGCCCTTGGGATAGCAAGCCACTAGAACCTTCTTCTAGATGGAAACTGATCCATTAATCAGTACTCTTGGTCAAATTATTGAACTATGTACTTGTCTCAGTCTGCTCAGGCTGCCATAAGAAAATACCATAGACTGGGTGGCTTAAATAACAAAAATTTACTTTCTCACACTTCTGGAGGTTGGGAAGTCCAAGATCAAGGTGCCAGCCAACTTGATTTCTGGTGGGGCCCTCCTCCTGATTTGTAGACAGCACCTTCTTGCTTTGTCCACATGGCAGAGAGAGAAAGCAGCTCCCTGGATTCTCTTCTTCTAAGGGCACTAATCCCACCACGAGGGTCCCACCCTTATGACCTCATCTCATCCCCAGTTACCTCCCAAAGCCCCATCTCCAAATACCAACCCATTGGAGTTGGGGTATAAATTTTGGTGGAACATAAGCATTCAGCTCCTTTGTTGTCCTTTCATTACTTCATCTCTTTGATAGCATGAAAGAAGACCCTGTCACCTCCTTTGCTGAAGGCCATACAGACTAGGCATTCGCTGTCTGCTTTTTATGAAAAATGGTGGCCTGTGTGATCTACCACCTTTTTTCCTTAGTGCTCAAAAACTTTCTCTTTAATAACTGATGTTAGAATCTTTGCCCTCATCTGGTACCAAACTTATTAATGTGGATTTGCAAAAATCCACCTTCTACTTTATAAAAATTATTAATATTTATCCCTTTCCAATATTCTTAGACATGAGATGACTTGACGTTACTGGCACTGT